AAATAGTTTCGCCGACATTCCAGGCGGTTGTACTGCGTGGCTAACTTAAACTGGTGACCTCTTAGAGACGTGTTTTGACTGAGTGTTAGAAGGGAATGGCATGGGTGGTTGGGGTTTTTCATGATCAGGTACACCATTATGAGATCGCCCCTTAGACGCCGATAACGTCCACTGTATATTTTGAGGGTCTTCAGCCTGAGTGGGTGGGGGAGGCTGGTCAAACCTCTGACGCTTTTCGTTGCCCTACGTTGGGCAGTATCGAGCGCGGTGAGATGGTGCTTGAGCCAGGGTTGCCACGCTTGAATAATGTATTCCGCGTGCGGCCTCACGTACGCACTAAACATTTTTGGAAAGACTGAAATGTCAAACTTCCCGAAAGCTCTGCAAAGAAGGCCGATGTACTGGTTTGCTTTCTTAGCTGCTTTTTCAGTCTGCCTCGAACAACTGAGATCATCTTGAACTATCACACCGAGATCGCACTCGTGAGAAGCCCGCTGTAGAATTTGTGGTCCTAGGCGGTAGTTGTGCATACTCGTGCCGTATACTGAGAACCTTGCACTTGGTGACGTTGAAATGCAGCATGTTCTCGATGGACCATGTGTACGCTTTGTCCAGATCCTCCTGTGAGACTGTGTGATCCTCTACTGCAGCTATAGTGCGCCATAACTTTAGATCATCAGCAAAAAGCAAACAGTTAGAAGATAACACACTCGCGAGATCATTTATGAAGACCAGGAACAGGCGGGGTCCAAGTACCGAGCCTTGAGGTATGCCGCACTGAACTTTGATGGATTCCGACAGGTTGCTTCTAACCCTCACATTCAGGTGACGTTGCACGAGAAAGTCTCCTATCCAGCCCAGAACAGGATTGCCGATTCCATATTTCTGGAGTTTGTGGAGGAGAATTCGATGGTATATACGGTCGAATGCCTTTGAGAAATCCAAGTAGGCCGCGTCGACTCCTTCACCAGCGTCCACAGATTCCGTCCAGTTTTCACGAGCAATCAAGTGATTAGTTGTACAGGAGCGATTTTGGCGAAATTCATGCTGTTCCGGAACGAGAATATTTTTGTTCTCCAGGTACCCCATTAAAGCCTCAGCTACGATGGACACCATAACCTTGGAGATCACAGGAAGTAGTGTTATCGGGCGATAATTTGTTGGTTCAGCACGGCTACCACATTTGTAGATAGGCGTGATGATTCCGTGCTTCCACATCGTGGGGACGTGCATCTCGTTCAGACATAGTTGAAAGAAAATTGCTAATGGTCCTGCCAAACTCATGGCAGCAACTTTCAACGCCTTTGGATGAATGCCGTCCGCACCCGGGGAGCTGAACTCGCGGAGGTGAACGATATGTGATTAAGCCCTGATAGCGGCGTTAACTGCTTACGCAGGATGTATGATGATTGCGCGCTTTGGAAGGTACGGCCAAATTGTTGTCCAAGGACGTTGGCTGCCTCTCGTGCGGTTTGGGCTAACCCGCATGCTGTGTGCAGAGCAGGAATACCGCGCTTAACACAGCGCAAATTGTTTACGTGTCTGTATAGCAGCTTGGGATTGTAGCTAAACTTTTCCCCTAGACTTTGTTGGTTCTTAAGTTTATCCTCCCGGACGAGTTTGACACACTGCTTCCTATGGATTGTGTAGACATCCCAGGTATGGTCGTTCGGGGAGGCTATATAGGTGTGCCATTCCAAATCCCTTGGTGCCATGCACTTACGTGTCCTGCTCTTTACGAAAGACTTCATCCTTTTAGGCCGGTAGAGTTTGGTTTCAGATGTCCTTGCCACGAGCTTGGCAAATATGTTGACGAATTCACCGCAGACCACCTCGGGGGTTAATTCAGCTAAGAACGACCAGAAGATCATCTCTCCAATCTGCTCAAGCGGAACTCCTACCAAAATGGCTTCATTCTACGCTGCCTCGCAGCACAAAAGGTTGCTCAACGCACTTCGGCAAATGCAACAGCTGAAAAGAGAGCAACTCTGCCCTATATCAACGAAATCTCTGAAATGGCAGCGAGGCTTTTATTGCCTTTTGGAGTCAAAGTTGCACACCAGCCAATGGAAACAATTTGCAGTAAACTCTTCAAAATAAAAGATAAACTTAGCAAAGAGGAAGAAACGTGTGATTTATATGATCTGCTGCTGGAACTGCGACAAATACTACGTGGGACAGACTGGACGAAAGCTTGGCACAAGGCTACACGAACGCAGCCTAGCCATTCGTCACCACGATCAGAACTCCTTGATAGTGCATATGGATGTCGAGAACCATCAATTCGACCTAGAGCACGCCAGTATCCTCGGAAGGGCTAAAAGCCGGCAAGCCCGTGAGTTCATTGAAGCCTGGAATTCAAAGCAGAACTCGATCAATAAGCACTTGGACATTGAAGTCACTTACGAGGCACTGCGAACCAGACCCCTGAAGCCGCACTGATGATGTTGTCTAGTCAGGCAACGAAACGTCTGCACGATAATCACTCAACTCGGAGAACAGCTCAAAATCCGATTAGATTGTTTTTCAAAGTGATCAGCCCAATGTTCCAACCGTTTGGACAAGTTGTGCATAGGCTGTCCACTCTCGTCACGTATTGTTTCACTAACACCAGGTCTCCTACTGCCCGTTTCCCTATCAGACGGAATAACTTACCATGGTTACCAAGCGCAGCGGCCATTTCCATCTCTGATGCACGATGAGATCACTAGGATTCGCGGTCTCTCTTCAGGCTAGCACGGAGTTTTGCCCGGACTTTTCTGCGAGTCTCATTGTGTTCGCTTCCAGCCAGAATGTGCTGGCGAACATAGTTAAGTTCCAGAGACTGCGATTAGACTTATCACATGAAGGTTTGCCTGCTGCTTGTAAGGGCTGGTGAATATGAAACCAGTGAGCTTCAACTGTATCCAGTGAGCGCTTACTCAACTCGCATGTCAGCGCACTTTGATAGGTATTAAGAACAGCTAGCTTTGTCACATGGCTGATGTCAATGCACTCAACGTCGTCTTGGGCGTCCGCCAAAACGCATCCGCAGGTCAGCATATACAAGTACATGGTCGGTGTCCACACCTGTGCTCCATATCGAGCGACAATTCTGGATGCAGCCTCTTCAGCGGTAACTGATTGCCAGATGTAGGGTGGCCCAAGGCTCGAGGTGGACAAGCGTTGACTTGTCAAGAAGAAATAAGTCACTGCCGACCGAAGTTGGTGCCGTCGGTTCGTTTCACCCTCCAGGCTGGCGTGCACGTGACTCGCCTTCTGCTTGTCCCGAGACTTTAAAGGACATGGTTCGTAGGGGACACCAGTGGCGAGTAATGACTGTTTATGACGCGTGGCAGTGAAAGCCTCAAGGTAGCTGTCTTAGCGATGCCACATTTTCTTTGTACGATGGCTAGCTGTTGTTGACGGTATGTTATGGACCTTGAATGTTTGCTTATGGTATTAAGGTTTTTCGATTAGTGCCCTTTCTCACCCTCTTGTTATTTTTTGTTCCGTAGGTCGTTATGGTTATATGGCAGCGACGCATCAGTTCAAATGGCTGATGTACTGCTGTTCTTGATGTTGATGATGGTGGCCGACGCAATTTGCATTGGATTATTTAAACCGTCTTTATGTTCGCAGAAGCACGCGGTACAGGCTGTTAAGCTCCCCTGGCCAGCTATGACGGAAGACCCTAAGTTTGACTGCCTTAGCTCAAATTCCGTAGCCCCCAGTTAACTCACCAAAGCGTAGCTCGCTTTTTTGGCTCCGACACTGACACTTCAAGTGGTCTATGCTACTTGGACTAACCGGGTCGACTTAAATTGTTCAGTCTCTGTATGTGAATATAATCATCTGATAATGAATCATTGAAAGCAAATGTTCACCAAACGGTCATTTTTCTCTACATGACTTCTCACACACCTCGTAAGTAATCTAACATCCCGCCTGCATTTATTGCCCTCCAGCGCTCTCTAACTTCTGTGTTCCATCTGCGTTACCTTGGGTGTATTCTGTGCGCAAACCGCCGGATATCGGTATTTTGCCTTGTTAGTCGCCTGCTACTGTTGTTTGACCCGTTTGCGCATCATTGCTAGTAGTATCCATGGGTGTAGTCGGCTCGTAACATTACAGTTTACGTCCAGTTTCGTAATTTGTGCACTCGTCCTGTAGAGTTAGCTGTCGCTGCAGCCCGAGACACTTGATATGTCAGATAAAGCCCTGACCCCAAACGACGGGACCTTATATAAAGCAGATACAGTCCCTTTGACCTAGATGACAAATGAACACGTCGTTGTGCATCGCTATCCAAACTTAGATTATGCGTCGCATTCCACTCAGACGATGGGGGTTTTTATTGGTCCCTCCAAAAGTGTCAATGAAACTTTCGCATTAAACGTAATTCCTGTAGTCAACCGCATCCGGTCTGTTGGGATCAGCATCCAAACAGTGATGGTCTTGGTTCCGCAGCATCCATTTCTCATTTTCTGCAATGATACTATTCGGCGCCTTTGCGAAATTACTGTTTTTAAATGCATACGTAAGTAGAAAGAAGCAAAAAGGAAGATATCAGCAGTATCCTTGGTCCATCTGTGACAGGCGGTCGTCACGTGGCAACAAAGCTTTGGCGCAACGCACCGAACTACTGCTGATGACTTCCTCTTATTACCACTAGAATATGCATTGCAAACTTACTGTTCTCTTAGAGGTGGTAGTCACCCTCGGTGTTTGAATAACTTGGCTTACGCTTCACTCGGCCGACTATTGGGACCTTTGACCTGCTATCAGCCGCTCCCAGCTTCATACCGTTTCCCCGTTTATACTTCCCCCGTCGTTCAGTATATACAATGAGGCCGCTGTCTCAGTTATCCAACGTGCGACACACAGGACGCCGTGCGTTCATGAGCTGCTACTTGGTAAGTAAGTGTATTGGTACTTGATTTAGGCATCGCACGCTTCACAAATAACAAAGGCTTGAGTTAAACTCGCGAATAAATCTAGCGTCTACCAGCGATAAATCGTTTTCTAGACTAGGCACTAATATTCAGCACCAAAGTGTCAGTTAAGTTAATCTTCATCATCAAATCGGCTAGGGAAATTTCATTGTGTAGAACACAAACTCATTGAAAAAGCATTACAATTACCGAACTTTAATCTTCAACAAATGCAACATTTGGAGGAGGCAGAATTGGGTCCACATTACCAAAACGGGAGAGGTAACTATCGGAATCGTCCCAAGGGACACGCAAATGCTGGTCACTGTCAATATCCTTCACCGTGGCAATCTCAGCTAGATCGGGATAGTCCGGTTCTCCCTCGTAGTCCACGATTGTGGTGTACTCGTCCGGCACCCTTGCAAGTTCCATCACTCTTTCCACTTCCGAAGCTTCGTATGGATCGTCATAAATGCGACGAGCATACAGCGGGGTCGGTGCATCTTCTGTTGGAATTGCAAGCCTAAGGTTATTTCGTTCTTCCCATCCAGAGGGCGGATGATTGGTATTTGGTCTCTTTGGTATCGTGGGTACTGAGGAAATCAACTCCATCATTAAGACAAGCAGGATCCATCTATAACTCGATGAACTAAACATCACGCTTTGCCTGAAATAACTCAGTAGGCCCGAAGTTGGTTGCACTTTCGGCTTAACCAGGATGAGCCAAAATGTGTAATTTTCGTCTATCAGTCGAAGGGCTACCCAGTCTTGTACAATGTTTAATCGTTTGATTACCACTCGCAATGTGTGCCTGCCAAATAGAGCATTATTCAGGTTGTGTCCGCTCACCCGTTCACTCTCCGGAATGCTGGTTTCGAACCAACTTGGATCGATTGCATCCTGTATTGAACGTTGAGCTAAGCCACCATTCTGTTTTCTCTCTGTTCAAAAAGTCCTTCACAATCCAACGATGTAAATCTAATAAAGAGAACAATTCCATATTTTGACTACTTCCTGTTCACGGGTAAACTTTCATTTTTCATCAAAGGCTGTGTGACAATCAATTTTTATCTCTCCCTGCATATATTTGAGTCGTTTCTGATGCTATTCCAAGGTGCATTTTCAAGCACCCCATTATCTTACCTTCATTTGCTTATCCTTACGCTCCAACTTCTCAGCTCCTGATTCGTGGGCAACGCCATCTTGCAACTGAAGTAGGTTAGCAAAATGCTACCGACAGAATCACAGATCACACACTGTGTAAATAACCATGCAGGAGTGGTTATCTAGTGAGTGCTACATGGTAGTCCCAGATGCCGCACTTACGAAAACCATATGTATTTCACCAAATTTCAAACTGGCTCCACAGGTTGAAAGCAATGAAATCTGTCACCGACGTGTTAGTCCATTTACATACAAACTATTACAATGGTTCAAATTTTGTTCTGTTCTCCGAGCTGAACAGTTTCGTTGCAAACGTTTCATCACCAATGGAGGTGACTTCTTCAGTGCGTAGTAAGCAAACTGAGTGATTTGTCGACTCTTACCGACAAGTCACTCGCTCGTCGAGCTACAGGTATTCCGATTTATTATTACAATGTTGATTAAATGCCACGTCTTAGGGAGACATACAGTGTGACGATTAGCACCTAATGGTGCAACCAGTCGTTTAACCTAACCTTATTTTTCTGTCAAGTATGTCGGCTTCTCTGTTACACAGGCAAAAGTTTACTGACTTCATTTCTGCCCTCTACAAGTCAACTTTCGTTGGCACCTAGTAGATAAATCCAGTTGCATGAATGAATAAGCGTAGAATGGATGACACCAAGGAGGATTCCAATGATACTCAGATCTCATACGACACTGGACTGAAATACATAAGGGACTACTGACAGGCAGTTGTGGGAAACCATTAATACGCATTTGCAATTGCTTTGGGTAATGAAGCCAGAAATAAAAAGGGCAAACTAGCGAACCTGGCACACTGATTTCATTTTTCCTGACCCGTAAACCCACGTTTTTAAACGTTTTTTTGACAGGGCACATTTAGCGCGAACTTTGCCAAACCATTTGGCACGGTCACAAACTGGACTGATAAAAATGCAAGATGGGGATTTATTCGCACCGTTGTTGATCGGTACGCATTGAAATGGGCTGCTGTGCATTGCCTTCCATCTTGGTTGGTACCATAGATTCCTATCTGTTACCCAGCCAGGTTTTGCACCTGTTTGAATAATTAAATGAAGCTAACACCAGTCTTTCTGTGACTTCCTTTGTTTTCCGAACACCTGCTTGTTTTGGCACCCTTGCAATCGACACATGCTGCGAGTAAGGACATTCATGCTAAGAGGAAGATCACGGGGCTCAATGAGACAACAGCCACAGGCTGGCACGCAAGGTAATGGACACACGGAAGACTAGAAATCCACAAGAACGAGCGGAGAGCGAATCGCCAGCGATGAACGGTAACGGGCGCGATCCAAGGAGAACCCAAAGAGGTTATTTATCGAAAGGACAATATCTCAGACAGAAACGTATTTTAGCGAAGCAATCACTTTTCAATAATTCTTTTCAGGCAGTTACAAGTATATGAAACATGCAACGCAGTGCGCTAATGAAAGTTAAGTTAAGGGCTGCTATTGCTTGCACGAGACTGGTAAATTGGATCGATACTTAGGCCGAATTACTGGAGATGGGCTTCGTAGCCGACGTTACACTGTCAGTGTCCGACATCGAGGAATTTCTACTGGGCCAAAGCAACAAGAGGGCTTGTACGAGGGCTGTCTGCTCGCAAACTTCGGGTTGCATCAGCATGATAGCGATCGTCTTAGCCGTCTTTAATGGACGCTTTATGAGCGCTTTAGTAAGAAGTAGTGTCACGGAGCAGAAAACAATTAACGCGTCTTGGTGGTTAGGTGTTGCTCCTCCCAACCCTGACACCCCATAAACGGTTTCGTCCTCATTTGGACTCATCAGATGGAGATAGCCAGAGCTGGGGTGGACCTCGAGGCTTAGCTAACGCGTCTACTATCCGGAATTCGTTTTCGATTAGAAAATGCTCCATGATAGAGCTGTTGGTGCTTCCAGGCATGCCTCTTCGTAGCGACCCAGGGCAGTGTTCTGTTACTCGCTTTGACAAACACATGCTCGTCCGTCCAATATAACTTGCATCACAGATGCAAATAAATTGATACAGAATGTGTGATTTGGAGTGGGCCGTGAGTCTGTCCTTGAGACATCGTGTGTACGAGCAAACGCGGGCAGGCGACTGGGTATGTTGTGGCCACTGCGTTTGAGATTATTCTTCTCAGTAAGTCAAGGGAGGGATCCCCTTTCAATGGAACTGCAAGAAGCACATTCTTTGGTACAGTCATCGCGTTTTCCAGGTGTACCAGGATCGTTGCATGGCTTTTGATAAACTCAGCAGAGTGTCTGCTCTCTTGCGACGTTCTGAAAATGTGATCTCTCTCGGTATCCAGCGTTTCCGGCATTTTTCGATGCATCTAGAAATAACTCCAAACCGAACACCATAACCATGGTCAAGTAAATCGAGAGTTAGAACAACTCCAGGCTGGTCAGCATGAGGAATCGAAGATACGGGGTCTGACAGGTTTCCAACCACCCCACACACACACCAAATTGATGGAAAAGGACACATTAATATAACCTGTAATTACTTCCTATGTAGGTTGTTGTCCGTCTACTGCTGAGATTGATGTCGCATACATCATGTCAAGCGTTATTCCCGGTTCTCAGTGCCATAGTGATCAGGACGTTAGCCGTAAACCACTAGGCTGTGCACTCCAGCCCATCTCAGGCTATCTCCAACAGATGAGTCCAAACCAAGACGAAACCCCAGTCGTGGTGTGCCAGTTGTTGGAGGAGCAACGCCGAAATAGTTCCATGCTCAGTTCTGTTATTCTGCTGCATATGTAGGGTCGGTTTTGCGGGGTTTTTCCCCCCAAATTCTATGCTGGTTGTTTGATATCCCCGGTGTGGCTGCGCTTGGTCTGATGTTGACAAAGTGCTTACCTATCTAACATCCTCCACCTTCATTGCTAGCCCCGGAGTCTGTGAATTGTTGGGGGTAGGGTGCACGGTCCTTGTGGCAGTGTGTCTCGTGGCTGTTTTATGGAGGCCGCAGTGAAAGGCAAATCCGGAACCGGATATTGCCAAACTTGTTGCGCTGGGGGGCGGAAACCTGACTGATACATGCGTGCGTCCGTAACAGCTTGGTTTACCATGCTCGTGTGCAAAAAAGATTGTTTTTACTTGAGGCTTCGTCCTTGCTCCAATAGCACCTCACGGGGCTAACTTGCCGCGCAATATCTTACGCCCAACCTTTTATTAGTCCCAGCTGTTTCTCCATGGAAGTCCTTGTGCGTGCCAGCAATGTATAACTTCATCGGAACATTGCTACCTAATGTAACGAATACGTAAACATTTTCATGTTTATTCCCTTGTATTAACAAAATGCTACTGGTCTCTATATTCGGGTGCAAGGCGGCTGCCTGGAGCGATAACCAATACCATTGCCCTTTTACTTCACCAGAAATTGTCCCGCACATGTAGCGCTGAGTCTTGACTTCAAAAGCTTATTGTTGACAACGGTAGCTGGAGACTCAACTGGGTTTTTAACTTGTCATGTGAAATAAAGCATTTATATTTTAGAATCCCCAATCCTGTCAGCGCAAATGTGCCACAATTTCGCCACCTATTCAGTCATTTTCATTCATTTAATGAATTACGTTCTAGAGACTGCTATCCTCAGAAAATCGAGTTACCATTTGGAAGCTCTAGTACTGTGACCAGGTGGCGACGAAAATTAGAAGGCGAATGCAGTTATTTCGTGTAGTGCTATCGCTAATACGACGGGTCGACTACTTAACACGGCAGTGCCCGCAGGTGAACTACTACGCGTACATAGAACTGGTGACTACACTAACTCGTGGGTCTCGGCTCTCGCTGCTAAATGTATCCAGCTCAACTAGGGCTGGTAGCTACCGGGCACCAGTTAAGCCAGCCTAATTTTAACGGCTTTCTTAGTCCGTATTAACGACACCGTTTTTGCGGACTGAACGCCACACGCGCGAGATGAACGCTAATATCGTGAGGCACCCGAAGTCAACCGAAAATGCAAAGAGTGGGGCCTTCAAATTTGGCCGTGCTCTACGTTCCTCTATCAAGGAAATAGCAACACTCGCGCTTTCAACGGTATCATTTATCAACCTGTTGTTTTACCCATTTACTGCTCTAGCTACAATTAGTGAAATTTTGAAATCGTTATGCATGTAGCATATCACTAAGCGTTTGGTTGCCGACTAACTCTGCTTTTTTTCTGTTTTAGAGCAACTGACACACAAATTCCGAAGCGACCATTCAAGGCAACAGAAGGCCGAGGATTTCACGGACTGCTAGTGTTGTTTGACCCACTCCTTCTTCCCTCGGTTTCCCCTGACGTGACCTTGACTGTAACCTGACTACTCGTTTTCTCCCGCGCGCGACTGTTCCCCGTTCTTCTCGTGTGTGAGGACGTGTGTTCCCTCTGCTTCTGTTGCTGTTATTTTCTTCGTAATTGTTCCTTCTTCCCACCAGCACCGTGGAATAAAACTTACTGGTTATTGGTTCTCATTTGCGTGTGAACTCACACTTCCGCCTCGACGTCAATTACAGCATTTCCACGCAAGTGGTAGACACAGTTAGGTTTATCCGAAACAAAGTGAGAAAAAGCTACAAAACTACGTAACAAATTTGCAAAGTTGCTTCGTGCTGGATGGAGGGTTGTTCTGCGGAATAAAAATTTTTCCAGTTTGAACATAGCTGTTTTCTCAGCACCAACGTCCGCTCACTTGTTGGAAAACTGAAAGACCTTAAAAGCAACATCTGCTGTCGCGAATACGCGAAGCTAGGAATAACTATGCTACAGGAAACATGACTTCACAAAGATGTTGAA